AAACATAGTCATGCATTAAGATATCCTGCAATATGATATACAAAAAATTTCAAGAAATCATGTGCATACACGTGTGCTGCAATCTGATTGGCTGAAACTTTAAATGGCAAAATCTCCTTTATTTTTTGACCGAAATGCTATAAAATTTAAAACATAGTCATGCATTAGGATATCCTGCAATATGATATACAAAAAATTTCAAAAAATCACGTGCATGCACGTGTGCTGTCATCTGATTGGCTGAAACTAGAAATGGCTATAATTCCCTTGGTTTTCAACAGAAGATGATGGGATCTAGAACATAGATAGATATAAGGGACTCCTACAAGAAAATATGGTCATCATGCACGTGCACGCACGTGCTTGCATTTGGAACGAGTGAAATTGAAAAAAAAAACACTTGAATGGGTGATTTTAATACTTTTGGACTAAATGCTTTCATATAAAGTATATGTTAAAATATAGAAAGTATAGACAAGATCATATGAACATTATGCACGTGCATTCACATGGGCACGCTTGCAATGTTAAAATTTGAATATGATTGATATCCTTTTGGGAAAACGTTGTTAAAGTCAAAAATGCAAAGATGTTGTCTTATTTAATAAGGCTTACAGGGAATATGTCAGCAAAAGAGAGTTGGGGAGCGTTTGGGGAACATCTGTAACGGTTCCCGTTACAATTAGCACTAGTTTTTAATTGTTTTATGGACTTTGAGATTGAATACTTTTCGTTATCTCCATATCCTTCTTGTACCTTGATTTATCTCTCTTATTTTTATTCATTATAAAAAATCTAACATATTCTTCTCGAATTGTGAAGCCTTCACAAGAATGATACTTTAAAGTTAAATTTCTTTCTTGAGAAGAAATATACCGAGCTTCAATTTTACACCAAATATTTGTATATCGCATAAAAATGAAATGTACAAAATTTTGCCCTCACCGTTGATTCAATGTCAATCAAAATCCTTTTGTGATATTATATTCATTTCCATGTCTAGTACAATACATGAACATAATCTCAAACTGGTCCGCATACGAGGGGCGTTCAATAAATAATGTCATTAGCTCGATTACATATAACATAGTAGTCATATGACATAAAACTTGACTTTCTCTCATTATTCAATCTTTAATGAATTTATAACAGTTTATGTGACCACTTTTCATCACATAGTTTTTTCGTGAGAAGCTGGGAAATAAGGGCTACTCGAGACACTGCATTATAAATGAATGGTAAAGAATCAGTTAACTAGAGTGAAAATAAATGCAACATTAAAGCTGCTGTAAAACTTGTTAAAAATTCCAAAGACATATTCACTGAATTATATGACATTTACAGCAATCGATGCCCGTTTTATAGACAAATTAGCAGGTGGATTTCAAAGATAAAAATCTATATAATTGGCATCAAAAAAGGGAACCCTCCTTGCCAACAAAAATTATAACAACTTATGTACTGTTTGCCAAATTTCAACAAATAATATTTGATGTTGTATGATTGACATTAAGACACATAGCAAATTTCATAGACATCATATCGGGAGTAGTTTACACTGTTTTTCAGAAACGTTTGACAGTAATTCAGCTTGGTACTCCAAGGTCACCCTGTATTTTGAAAAATTAGTGAAAACGACAGCATGTACAAAAGTCTTAACAATTATTTTAAAGTATCAGTAATTGTAATAATCCACGTTTGTTTTATATTCAAACAGATAGTGGAACATGAATCTATTGCTTAAAACCATTAAATCAAAATTAACCGTAAGATGTACTTGATAAAAACGGCTAAGGTCTGTCTAGAGCAAAGGTATGCAAGAGCACAAAAACAGATTCATATACAATTTCTTAAATATTAGTGGTATTATTGTTCAAATTCGTATTCGGGGAGACAGTTTAATATCTGGAGGTGTCTAGAAAGCTGTTGTTTTGAAAAGAAATCGAAAGGTTTATCAGAGAAAAGACCCAGAATCAGGAATCGACTACATTGAATTTCTTCATGACAGCGTTTAAACCCGCATGCCTTAAAGAGTAAAGGGGTTTACGGGATAAACGGAAAGGTGATTTTTGTCACATTAACAATATTTGCCAGATCTTTGACCTTTTCACTTGTTTCTATTTTCAAACTTGAGTAAAACATCTTTCAGAAGGAAAATACAAGTCCAGGAAATCATTGGATCTGCCATTTTTCAGTATACTTAGGGTCATACCCAAAAATGAGTTCTAAAAACAATCAGAAAATGGATAAAAAATGTAACGGACATGTGTTTGAATCAAAATAGATTAATAAGTAAAATCATGAAGACTAAATAATTAAAAAGCGTCGTTTGCTTCTTTCTGGGCCCAAATGACATTATTTATTGAACGCCCCTCGTATATCAAAATCTAATTCATTTGTGCATGTATTCAACAAGCCAGTTAGTGAAATTGTCTAAAGAAGGATATGAAAATAACGAACAGTAATCAATCTCAACGTCCATTAAATAAATATACAAAATAAGAGCAGAGCAAACACGGACCTCGGAAATATCAGAGGTGGGATCATGTGCCATGGAGGAGTGAGCATCCCCTGCCGACTGGTCACACCCGCCGTGTGCTCGTTGTCATAATCAGGAAATAACGGAAAAAATCCGTGGTCAATTCAGTGTATAAATGATGGACTAACAATTGGTATGAAAAACGTCAGTCAGCATTTCATTCAATGATAAGTTGTATTTGCTGACAAGGTCATTGTATCGACCATAGAATTTACGAAATGATGACTTTAAACGAGACTGTTGATATTCTAGTTTCACCAACTTGCTTGTCAATAATTTACCTCGTTTAAGAAATTATTCATACGTAGAGCATGCTCTTGCGTTTCGAATCAACTGAGATATAAATACTCCGTACGCAGGTTATGAAGGTATATTGCTGCATAAGTAAGGGAAGTTGACGATAGAAAAGTTAAAGTCATCACGTTTATCATATAGCTTGGTTGTTAGATTACCATTAGTGTCTTTTTCAAGTAAAATATCCAAGTATGAAGCAGAAATGTCGGACTCTGTGGTATCTTTTATCTCAAGCTCACCAGGATATATCGTGTCGACGTAGGAATGGAAATTATCATTATTAATTGATAATACGTCGTCGATATATATCTAAATGTCGAGTTGAAGGCCACAGCAAGTGTTTTCTTCTTTTCACGTAAAAGATTTTGCATAAATTCTGCTTCATATGAATATAAAAATAAGTCTGCTAATAATGGGGCGAAATTTGTACCGATAGGAATTCCAATAGATTGTTGGAATACCTGGTCTCCAACAACCACATAGATATTGTCAATCAGAAACTCAAGCATCTTCTTGATGTCAACTTCAGAGTACTTATGTGTGCAATCAGAATGTGTTTAAACAAAATAATTTTTCAAATGACCAATGACGAGGTAAGTAAACTTACAAGTTCCATTTTTGTTGAAGAAGCAGCTGTCAATGATATCAAAAAGCCTGGATTTTAATTTATCGTGGGGAATCATTGTGTATAAAGTTGAAAAGTCGTAACTGAAGCTTTTGGCAAAAATGAATTTAGATCATAGCCTATAAGTAACAAGCTAATTCAGAAAATTTGTGTACTCCGCTTAAGGAAAAGTAAATCGGAACATCAGTCGGCTTTTTCGGTCAAGACGATTTGGAAAAAGTAAACCATGTGCAGTGCAGGGATGGATTGAGTGGGGTGATGGTCAGATCCCCTTGACTGAATTTGTAGAATTATTAAATGTATACATGTATACTGAAGCAAATATGATATGCCAATATGGATATAAAGGTTTGATTGCTTATTCTTTTTTTATGTGTATAGAGTATTCTTTTTATATAGAATATTTATCACACTGTAATGATGATTTAATGAGTTAGTACAAGCCAGACCTGATATTTTTTTTTTTCATTTCACATGCTGAATACTATCATTTAGTTAAAAAAAGGTATGTCGAAAAAAAAGGATCAACCGGAATGCGATCCTGGGCCCTCTCACATGTGAAGCGAGAGACATGTATACCACTAGACCACAGAGCCCCTTTAAACTAGCGAAAATTATATATGCAAAGATGAAGTTACATACATGTATATGTTCATGTTCGATATTGTCAAAATTTTACACAGTGCATGGTGTCTTATTTAACTTTTATTAAACAGTTCTAATAGATGTTATAATAATATAAAGTCCACCGAAAACCTGTTTTATACGTAATAACTCTCCTCATGCCCCTGTGCTAAAAATAGCGACATAAATACAATAAATACTACAAATACTCATAAAACAAACGGGGCGGGACACTTTGAGAGGGGTGAGAGAGGTCTTTGGGAGTTTTGGTATAAAATTACATTGCACAAGCTCTAAATCATCTTGAAATATCGCCCGAAAAGAATAGTGTTACACTCAGAGAGATTGTATAAAGTTACGACCTTGAACTTTGACCTTTTGACCTCAAAATCATAATGATAATGATTGTTAAATACATGTATTTGGACAAAGAACAATCCCTTGATTTGACTGATGCCATTTATATTTTTTAATAGCTGAAAATTCCCCTAAAATTGATATTTTTATGTTTTTGCACATTTTGGATCACCCTCCCCCCTTCATTTTAAAATATGAAGATATTAATGGACATTAAGATAATATAATTATTCATGACAAGTTACTTATGAGCTGTATTGAAAATGAAAAATAAATAATTTTGATTTCTTTTCTATTTATTTATCATTTCAACTTGAAAATTATCAATTCAAGCCATTTTTGGCTGAAAAGAGTGTTGAAATCAGACATTGATTTGACAAAAAAGATTTTTTTAAGAAAGATACTAAGCATTAACTGTCAAAAGGTTTTTTTTTTAATCGGAGAGCCCTCATGTGTCACCCCTGCCTGATTCATAAATGAAATTGTACTTAAGTAGTGTAGGGATATTATATTTTCTCTTTTCAGGTGTAAAAATACAACATAGTGATTTCTGGTGTAGATATGATTGGAAAATGGAAAATCTCTATTTTCATAGCAATTGTCATACTAGGATTGTTTCAAGGGCAGGCTTTGTGTGGTAAGTTACTAATTAGCACCTGCTTATTTCAGTGTCATTTCAGGCAGATGACTTGAAATAGGTTCTTTTTTGACAAACTCATATATTTCAAAACGTTTTTTGTTCTTTCTAAATAATTAATTTTGTTAGTAGAATCTACAAAATATACTGATGAAAATACTGTAAATGCTCTAAATTACTTAAAAGTACATTCTTGTACTTGCTGTTCTTGAGCGCTGAAACAATAAAACAAATAAGACACAATAAAGTTTTGACAAAGTATTATGTATTCTTAATAATTGATCAGTTAAAGTACCATATTCCACATAAAAGAAAACAAGGAACTTGGAAAACAAAAAAAAAAATAATGAAACCGATCCACTTTTCAGAATTTAAGTCCACTTCATCTTTAACTCGTTTTTCATGGGAGTATTGCCCCTGCGAAATGATATTCATAATTTTAGGAACCTTAATGAGTTGTTCATAATTGTTCATGAATGGTTCTTAAAGGAGTCTTAACAGGTTCATAAAAGTAGTTCATGAAAAAAAAAATCATGAAAACATTTATTATTCATAGTTCATGAACAAATATGAATATTGGTAATTTTTATTTTAAAGAAAAAAATAATACGAGGGTTGTCCCAAAAAGTCGTAGACAATGTTAATAACTTTTTTAACACGCAACCAATACTGACCAAATTTTGCATAGACATAATACATTCAATGTTCTTTAAAATTGTGAATTCTTAATTATATATCTTTCATATAAATTATATTGGGACGATTTATATGAAGGCCGATATGGTCTGTCGGCGCACGACCAAAATTCGGAATAATTGACGCATATAACTATTACATTTGCTTTTATTTCTTTGGAACTATGTAAAAGATTGAATTAAAATTGAAATCACTGAAACCAGAATCAAAATCTTAATAATGTGTCAAATTTTCATATAAATAGCATTAGAAACAGAAGACTGGTGGCATGATTTTCAAAGTGTTGTTTGAATTGAGATTGATGAAAATGACGTCGTTGAACGCGAACCCGGCGCACGAAAATATGTTACAAATTGTTTATGGTATGCTTTATATTCATCAGAGACGGGGAAAAGAGTACAGAAAGGACATTACACACTATATTTTAATAGAAAAGTTTTTTTAATAGTATGAAATTCAAAGATAGTTTTTCCTCTTTAGAAAAAAAAAAATAGTTATGCATGTAAAGAAGAGTACTGATTGTTTAACGCAGACATTCGGGAACGTTCTGGGCCATGAACGTCATCAAACAAGGTGTATTCTCTGCTGCATAAACTGTAAGGTGATCTTTCAAATAATTTAATTTTGACTAAATTTGAATCTGCTTCAGAAAACGGACAGTAGTGAATTTGAATTATTCCCTTAGTCCAGTGTGGTTTTTCACTATAAGAATATTCATTTGGATGTTAATAGCCTCATGTGAAGCAGAAAAAGGGCCCATGACGTTATGAGAGACGTAAATTACGCTTGCTTTCGTGCGCCGATGTACACTTACATGGTTTCTTTAATTTTTCATAGTTTTCTTATTAAATGTGGTATAGTCATGAAACTTGATATACATGATCATAAAATGTTACTCTTTGCTATGGCAAGAAAAGAAATTTGATTTCGCAAAGAGAAAATAAACTATGTTCCCAGTCTACGACTTTTTGGGACAACCCTCGTAGTTTAAGGTAATAAATGTTCATGAATTTTAATGAAGACTAAACATGTAAAAATAATTGTCACAACCGATTGCCAGAAAACACTCATTTCTCCCATAATACAACTTTTGCACGCAGATGCACTTGTTGAACATTTAGCCCCTGATTTAATTTATAAATGCTTTTGTTTTGATTTTGAAAGTATGGGATCAGAGCTGAGTAGGCGAACATGAGGTTAAAATCACTATTTTCTACTCTATGTAATTAATAACTTAGATTCTTCAGGATAATAAACTCTGTTACGAACTGTCTAGAATGGAATTTATAATTGAATTATGATCGTAACATAAAGAACGCTGCATCAATATTAACAGCTTTTTTTCCTCATATTGAATTTCTTATGTTTCATCATCATTTAAATTGGCCAGCTATTAATATTGTGCTTTAATGGGGGGGATATGTTGTTCTACGTCAAAGCAGCGTTATGTGACGTCACAATAGCAACGTTTGCTTTTTACCTGTTGACTTTTGCAATAATGATATAGGAATAACATTTTTATTAATCAATAGTATACACATTTAAAAAAAAAATAATTCATCATTAATTACAGTCTTATTTGATTTAAAGAGTTTGTTAATATTATAATTCTCTTCCTTAAGTAGATAATTCAAAGCATTTTAAGCTGTGAGGAAATACCCAGATGATATGCTTATACATGTATAAATAAGTGCAAAAGATAAAATTCAGCAAAGAAAGCGGCTTAAATCAGGGAAATACGATTAATATTATGTTTACGATTAATTGTAATTTCTGGATAAAACTAGAAATGTGTTTGTACGTTTATTTGCTTATTGATTTGTAGTACATGCAGATTTTATTGTATAAAGTCATTCCTAAATTCTAATAGGTGTAAGTTGTTGATGGGGAAATGGGGGAGGGGGGGGGGCAGAATGATTAGAATGAAGAAGAAAAAAAATTAATCTATTTAAATGGTTTCTAAATCAAAACAAAATACTCGTTTTTCGCAAAATAATTTTATATTCAGATGTTTGCCTTTATTTTAGTGCAGAAAGGTCAAAATTTATGAAACAAGAGTACAAAAATAAAAGAAATCTTAATTTTTCTCGTTTATTATATCATAAAGGTATACTTTTTTCTTTGTTTAAAATAAGAGATAAATCGTTTCTTTCAAAATATTCGAATTACGACATTTTCACACAAAGAATTTTTAAGATATAACATGTTATGCAGGTCGAAATTGTAAAAAAAAAAAAAAAAATACGACAAGAAAAACGGGGTGATACGTACATTGTGCGCCTTTATATTTTTTCATGCGAAATAGATTTCAATAATTTGCCTTCATTTTATGGAAACGAGTCATATAAATTGAATACATGTTGATTTCGAATGTGATTTGACATTTTTGGTTCTTTTTAGCGCATATTTTGAGTAGATCAAGAATGTCTGAAATTAATCTATTTTTAGCATTTTATACTGTTTTTGCACGTGCTCCTGTGTAAAAATAAGCAGATAAAAGTATTTTTTAATACCTAAAAATTAAGAGCAAGTGATCAGGAAAGAAATGTCAAACTTTTGAAAATTTCACACAAAGATTTTTCGGACATAGCCCCCCCCCCCCCCCCCCCCCTTTAATTATATCATTTTTCACGACACGACTTTGTTCGGCTGAATTTTGTCTATTTGTCAAACTTTAAACAAGTTGTAAGAAAATTAAACAGACTTACAGTCTTCGTAAAAACGTATCATAAATTTATTGACAACTAAAAACTTAAATATCTTGTCCGTACTGTACCGTACCATTCTTGGGTCGAAAAGCTTTATATTTTGATGCAGTTAAGAAGTCACATTTTTCTGTCCATCGTGTGTAAATGATACAGCACAGGCTGCATGGTTGTGAGGAAGCCATGAACCACGTTCGTATTCTGTAGTCTATTCTCATATACACTTTCATAGCTCAGGGTACTCAGTTTGAGGGCGAATGGTTTCAAGAGATATTTGTTGTCCTCTGATATGGAGGCGGCCATACTTGAATACGAAACTATGGCTAAACAGGTAAAAAAAATCCCATTCAAAAAATGATATAACATATTAATTTTTAAAAATTAATTTCAGTGAAAAATCATTAAGATAGTGTTTGTTATTTTTTGTCTAACAAAAATCTTAGCAATTCGAAACTATTTCTTAATTAGCTCTGCATGACACATTTTAAAAGTCGCAAACTTTGAAATGCGCAAGACGTTGAAAAGTGAATTGGTGGAGTGGTAAGATTAGTAATCAGGCGTAGTCATTCCTTGTCAACCTTTGAAGAAAATAACAGAATTCGAAGAAGGAATATCCAGAGAATCAATTTACTTTTAATTTATAACTGCAGATATTAGTGGTGAGTTACAAAAAAATGGAGTCAAATGCTGAATCTGTGAGATATTTGTCAAGATGTTACTTTATATTTGTACGATTTCAGTTATGTCCTTTTCAATGATAATTTTGTCAAACTTTGTTATGAGTAGGAGTTCAACCAAATTACGTTACATTTGATAATTAAAGATTGAAACATTGATCCTGTTCACCTATAACATATTGAACATGGCGAGCAAGGGAAACAGGAAAGCTCCCGCTAGGAATGCTTTAAAATATGGCAGTGCCTACGATGCCGAATTAAATAAAACAAATATGCAAAAAAAAAAACAAACAATTAAGTCTTATGTTTTCACGATTATGAGCATTTTCAGAAAACCTTTGTTCTTGTAGGGAAAAGTGAAACAGTTCACAGATAATGTTGCTGAGTTGAGATCAGAAGATTAAAAAACTCTGGCTGCCAAAAAAAAAGAATATAAAATATCCAGGCTTTTGATGAAGAACAAAAGAAAGGAATAAAATATGAATCGTAATCGATCAAAGGATCCAAGTGATGAAATTCTGAAAATTCCACGGGGAAAGCCAATAAGATTTTTTTTTATTTGACCACCTCTGCTCAAAATCCTTGAAAGCCCATTTAGCTGATGCCCTAATTGCTCTATACACTTTTCTGCCAGACTTGGATTAAAAATCATCCCATTTTAGGCATACACTTTGAAATACGCTGAATAAGGAACCCACTCTCCTCTTGACCAAGTAAGGTTAAGGATTCTGCAAAGAGTCGCGTTTGAATTGAAATTTTTCATAATTTTACTATAGGAATGAACTACATAATTTATTTATTATCGTAATCACTTATTATTATCATAGTTGTTTACTTGAAATTCATGAAATCATGAGTGTCCAATTTTAACTTAATGGGATCTTCATGAACAATTCATGAGCTCATTCAAGAATGTAATTTATGAACTTTTCTTAAAAGTTCTAGAATTATTCTTGATCATTTCGCAGGGGTGGTAATTTTTCACTTCAATTGCATTATTATAATTATGTGACTATAACTTGGCTTCAACACAAATGTTTCAATAAATATTGAAAAGTCTAATTCATTGGTAAAAAAGACATGAACTTTCAACAGCTTATATTATTTTTTTTTTTTGAAAGAATTGCAATCATTAATTCTATGTAAACAAAAACAAATATATGATGTACGGTTTGAATAAGTATTTATATAAATAGTTGCATAAGTAGTTAATATACTTAGATTTTGTATACTTTATTTTATAGTCAATGTGTTTTTCACTAATTGAAAAGCACACATAACACAGTGTTCATGCAGATGGCCTTGACGAATAGAATTATCCAGATTAGTGGCGTAAATGACTCATTTTAGCTCACCTGAGCCTAAGGTTCAAGTGAGCTTTTCTGATCAAAACCTGTTTTTCTTTTGTCTGTTGTTGTATTGTAAAAAACATTACCAGAGGTATCATGCATTTTCAATTGATAGTCATTAACGTAGGCACAGTCAGGAGTCCCAACCATTATGATAGATTGTTTGTCTATTAATTTACTTTCGTTATTAGATGTTCATGAAAATAACTTGAAATCTTTGCTTCCAAATGGACATGGTTTTCAAGATGGCTTTCTTTGAGGCATTGGAGTCCTTTATAACATTATATGAAAAAGTACTACAATTACTAGTTAGGGTAATTACCTTTATCTAATTAAATCATTGCTTTCAACTTCTGTTAAACGTTGCATTGAATTTGATAGGCATTCTTCCAGGAAAAAGTGTTTCATTGTTATTCAAGAGTTAAAAAGTTTAATATGTGAAAATTACCCCCCCCATTCTTTTCAGCCTTCTTTGTATAAATATGTATTAACCTGGTCTCCGTCATTCAAGATACACTCAACATGCGTTCCTTCGTATAATTTCATATCTATTTAACATTATTTACAGTATAGAACAAAGTTCTCCAAAAGCAACAAATCTTAAACGTGAATACATTCAAGATATCTTATTTATATTGCTTCAATCCTGCAATTGATGACAATAAAAGGGAATCGCTATCTGTAAATCATATATTAGACAAGGCGACTCAGATGTACATAGTGGATTTTTAGCACTTCATATTGAATTATTTTCTATATCTGATTAAATATAATTATATATTAATTTTAATTAAATTTAATTTAAATAAATTAAACTTAATTTAATTAATTATAAAGCTTAATTTTACTAATGAATTAACACAATCACATGACGTTGTGATCAATCTTTGCGGATCACAATTTTTTTTTCTGAATCCATATCAACACTCTTTAAAACTGATGACGACGTACGCAGAAACATGACCTATATTATCTTGTACATCAAAAAGTCCCTTGACATTATGCCTATATTAATCGATAAATGTTATGTAATTGATCTCTTAAGTGTTTACTATATTTGATAGGCCTAATTATCAGAGGGTTTATGATAAATTTATCATAATAACAGTTTTATCAGAAGAACTGTATCACGTATCTTGTCAGGCGCAGATTAAATGTATAATATCGAACTCGACCGTCTCATTCAATCTGATAATCACCGCCTGTCAGACCAAGTTGATACGAGTTTTCGGATTAATTAATTCATGATAATGATATATTTATCAAATTAGTTTTTATGTTGTTGCAATATAAATCCTTCAGAATGAACTTGACTTGAAGATGATAAATTATACGTTTACAGATTTAAGTGAAGTTTATTGTTTCCAATAATAATGTATTATTTCATTTTTTAAATTTATTTTAAAACTGATTATTATTTACAATATATATCTAGCTCATCCCTGAAAAGTCTTACAATTCTAATTTCCATTTGATAAATAGAAAACCCTGAAGAAGAAATTCGTTTAATTCTTATCGGCAAAACTGGAACTGGTAAAAGTGCAACCGGGAATTCCATTCTTGGTAAACATTCCTTCAAATCTGCAGAGGGACTGGAGTCGGTTACTAAAACATCAAGTGTGGATACAACTTTTCGATTCGGGTATAAATTAAAAGTCATTGATACACCTGGACTGGAAAGTACAAGCTTATTAAACAAGACTCTTGTAATGGAAATAAAGAAAGCAATTGACATGGCTTCCCCAGGACCACATGCTCTGATATTACACTTAGAACCCAAAAGACTAACAGAAGAGGATGAAAATGTGATTGAAATGTACATATCTATGTTTGGAAAAGAATGTTCCAAATACTTGGTATTGTTATTCACAGACAAAAACAAGATACGAAAAGTTGGAAATACAATAAAACATTTACTAGAAACGATATCACCGGAAAGTAAGATGGCCAAACTTTTAAATGCTGCAGGGAACAGATATTCAGAAATAGATTATTCTGTTAATTTACAGGAACAGGAAGAAGACGTTAATAATCTATTAGAAATAATAAGGAAACTGAAACAGGAAAACGACCCGCCGTATCTGATCATTGATTTAAAGGACTTTGCAAAAGAAACCTTTCGGTTTTTTGGCTTTTTGAGCACCTTCATTGATCATCTTGAGACTCTACTAGGAAAGAATGGAGCAAACTGTATTAAAAAAATTATTGATTATACTGGTACCTGGGCAATAAGATATTCGATACAAGATATCAGTGAACTATCACATATAAATATATTTGATCTCTTTCAATCGATGTTTTTGTCAACATATCACACATTTATTCCATATTTTGAAGATTATCTATCCTCCAAGATATTTTATTACCTTTTGATCCTTGTATCTTTTATCTTTTTGTTAATTGTTCTTCTGAAAAGTTTACAGAAACTCTCTCCCGTTGAACAGAATAATCAGGCCTGAAAACTTTAAAGTTAGAGCAGAAAGAACAAATTTTAAATAGCAACATTATATAATTGATAATAAAAATGACAATCAAACCAAATCTTTATCTGGACTTAGTATCCGATTCAATAAAAATCAACAGATTCTTAAACCTTCTTAAGCATACATAACATACGTGTGATGCAACAATGGTAAAATTTGGAATCAAAATTTTCCATTAATATAAATGTATATGTTCTAAGTTCATGATCTTAAGGTTGGATGCCTAGTGTTGTTTTTTTTCCTTATAGAATATCTAGCCCTTTCAACTTGGTGAAATAATTTAACATTTAAGTAATATATCAAACCATATATAGAGCTTTGACAGATCCATTAAGTATGTAAATCGCTGAATCAAAAAAAAAAACTCCTAACGGCTGATAAGTCTGATTTGATAGAATCTCACTTTATCTCACTTCAAAATTAAAATAAGTTAGATGCTTGCATTACAAGATCATAAATGTCAAGGTGATGACATTTCACTTTATCTGAATCGGAACTTGATGACTCACAGTGAAAATGTTCATACTCATCACCTCTGAATGCCTCTCTGCTCTTAATGACTACTCTAATGCCCATTGTGAAAAGAGTTATCAAACTTTTCACATGCAGCATTCTGTTTCCCTAGCTTTACATCTCAGAAAACTGCTGATTTTGTAAAGATTTTGTACGGATTGTGAAGTATATATTATTATTATTATCAAAAGTAAAGCCAGCATCGGTAAAATAAAACACTAATAATGTTTACTGACTTTTCGGCCAATCGCAAGTTTATAGTCCCTCTTGACAGCAAACTATTATTCTCGGTTGCCCCTCGGGCAATAGTTTGCTGTCTTGGGGAACGACAAACTTACTATTGTCCTCATAACCAGTAAAAAGGTGTATTATAATTACATGTGAGCAATCACATTACCAGATTTTACCAAGCTAAAGGTATATGATATATAATTATATTAAGACTTCTTTTTATTTCTTTTTTATGTACAGCTGTGTGTCATAATTTAACAGAGTTTTATTTTTTCTCGGTCTATATATTTCATTGAAAACAACATTTTGTAAAATTCTTAATATGACGACATTTAACAGATTTTATTACAAATATCTTGATAAGTCAAGATATAATTGTAATTGGGGAAAACAAAAGTTTTTACTAGATCAGCATACTAGGTATTTTTAAAATATTATAATTTAAGCGTGACGTGAAGTTTTAAATCATATACATACAAAGAATTATAGTCCACATTAATCTTGAATTTTAGAACTGATATTAAGTGATGAACAATCTGTTAATAAAAATGCATATGTATATATGTAATGATATTCTGAAAAAAGATAATACCTAATCATGTTCTATTTTAAGTCCTGAAAAAAATAATGAAATTAGACAAAAAATGACCGCTTGCCAATGATTTTACAAAATGTTGTTTTCAATTAAGAAATAAACAACGTTATTAGTGAACATGGCGTTATGAATAGCAATTGCTCTGCTGGCATATTCCATGATGCACGCTAGCGCATTATGGAAAATATGCCAGCAGAGCTATTGCTATTCTTTACGCCATGTTCACTAAATAGTCGTTGTTTATTACTTATATTTGCATTCTTTGATGTTTTCAAGAATATCAAAGGAAATCCTGACTTACTCAAGGGCGCAGCTTCTCCTGTCTTCAGTAAAGAAAACCATACAGTTTTAAAATCAGTACACCTGATCAATACTCCTTTTCTCTAATACATCACAATTTATAAAGTATTTCCTTCTCAAACACAGTTATTTGGATCTGGATAGAAGCAGCGCCGTCATAACAATCTCTTAATTTTTGTTTTGATGTGGCCGTTACTTCATCGATCAACGTTATTGAAATCATCTGACAAAAATAAGTAATTTAACACTATGATAAAAATGAGAATGCTTTTATAATGATTATAACTCCAGTATGCTTTTCTGTGATTTTTTTTTTGGGGGGGGGGAGGCATTTTTTCTCATTTTTTTAATTGAAAAAGATATAGATCTAAATCCCTTTCTGAATGTTATTACCCATGTGTGAAGAGTTATCTCTCTTTGAACAAGTATGCATGTTACTTAAAAACAAAAAGTTTTATATTACAATTAAATACATTGACCAAAATAAGATTTTTAAAAATATCTAACAGCAATTTTAAATTGTTCTGAATTCCTTTCTTTCCAAAAATTATTATTAAAAACTTATTTTTAGTGCTTTTACGAAACACTTCATATATATACTTCTCAACCTTTTATATCTGTGTAAGAGAACATGCTCTACACGAGTGAGCTAGAGCAATTGCACTCATAGCAGAAGCAGTTGCGTCTATAGTCCTATGAACGCAGTTGCTGGATGCAGGTTCATAGTGGGAAAGAGCAGTGGATATGCAAATATTGAAATATAAGGTGAATTATTATGGCACACACCTGTATATCAAACCGAATAAATGATGCAATCAAAATAATAATTGTTTTATTTACAATGAAAACAAGTCTTTAATACAGTTTTTGACCGTACAGTTTTTGAATCTGTACATTTGTTTACATGTGTACGTGTTATCAGCTGTTTATGTCAGATACACGGTCTCTAACAGTAGGCCTTAAGTTAAATCTTTATGATAGAAAACATTTTATTCATTAAGTTTTACTCACAATTTATTTGTAAACTTGTTGGAAAATATCAAACCATTGAAATGACGCAACAAATGGCTGACAATCACTTCCGCGTTGTCAGAGCAATGTAAGCTGTCGCCAGTGTCTCTGTGTCTACTGTCTTACTGAAATCGTAGATTGAATGATTTTAATCAAAGAATGAGTACATCTATTAAGTACGTCATTTGGAACCTTTTCGGCTACCAATTTTAAGCTTTACATTAAAATATATCGCTAAATTCATCTATAATTTATGTACAAGTACATGCTTTTTATATTTATTCTTAGAAAATTTTGTCAATATATATTTCTACAATAACAGACAATGTAATTAAAAAGAACGTAATCAAGTCTTAAAATCCAGAAATTTGAAGGGGACAACTTTCGAATCTAACGTATCAACAAATAGGCGGAGACATTTAAATCGCATGATTGTAGAATGTACTTGACAACATTAGCACATATAATTTTTTTTCGCACTACAAATTTGGAGAAGAGAGAAATTGTGTTGTTTTATTGTGCACAATTAATGATTCTACTGTTTTGGGATGTGAAACATGTCTCGTCCTACAGACTATATTACAGAGGCGGCATGAACATATACATATTCTTACAAATTTAACATATGTTCTAATTCAATTAACTCGTCTCTAACGAACAAAAATTATTTAGAATTATAACAACTTGTCAATATAGAAATGAAAGCGTTTCCTTACCAGCATTTATTAGACGTATACTGATTCTATACCTTCCTCCTACAATGTATCGAAAAAGCAATTAATAAAATATTACAATACAAAATGAACTTTTTAATACAATGTTTAAATGTCCTCACTTAACTGATGAAAAAAAAACATAATATAAAACCTATATGTATGAACACAATTATGCTGCCCCCAAAAACATAGATAAAAAAACATCGATTTATGTTAGAAAAACTATGGAAACCTGTAACTCCGCAGCAATTGCGAGGTAAACAAAATGAATGGCGGACTCATTCTCACAAACTTACTTAATATCATGAATAATAATGTACAATTACCTTACTTGTTTCAAACATCCTGCAGCTGTGCACCAGTAATGTATATTAGAACATTTCAACCTTAATAGGCTAAGTAAAATTTCAAAAAAAAAATTATATATACGAGGGTTGTCCAAAAAGTTCCTGGACATTGACTTTTTATTAAATAAATGGTTCTATATGGATCTATTGTTTATCAAAATATTTCTTATGAAAAAATAAGTCAGAATGATTTAATTTTTACTGAAAAACTTAATATTTTTGTAAAAATTGGGGTCTTTAAAGATGGCAGGTTTTGGGCACGGACCAGTTTGACGTTAAGCTAATTTCATTAACGTCAAATATTTAGCTTATGACGTAACACATGTTCACGGACACACACCAAATTTCTGTCTTAAGGCAGAACGCACTTCCAAGTGCTATGAACAATGTTTAAGTATAGATTATAATTTATTTAATTTTAAAATTCAAAACAATGCAAAAAATATACGTTCGTCATCTAAATAAACAGTTTGTATACTCAAACTGCACAGCCCATTCCGACGCTGCGCTAGATTTATGACGTCATAAATAGAAATCTCAATTTTCAGTAAATTACATGTGTTTTTAATTTTTTGTAGTGTCCTCGTATTTGTACATGTACACATCGTT